GAGCGAGGCCCCCGTCTGCTCCGCACAGGCTGGGCAGAGAACAGGAGCCAGGCCCCTGTCTGCTCCGCACAGGCTGGGCAGAGAACAGGAGCGAGGCCCGTCTGCTCCGCACAGGCTGGGCGGAGACTCGGGCCGGGGCTGCCCTGCTTTTCGTGCCACACCCGCAAGTACTCAGGTCCGAGAAGAGCGTGGGACCGTACCTCTCTCCTCACTCCTAGTGTCTGTTTAGAGGTGCTGGGGAACAAAGAAATGCCGGGAGCATGCGGCGGACAAGCATCTACATACTTCCTGAGAAATGGCCCCGCTCCATTCTGGGAATGTGACAGCCGGACGCGGGCCGCCTAAGCCCGGCTCAGGAGCGCGGCTCACACTCTGCGGGCTGTCCCGTCGGTCCGCTTGGCCCACTGCGGCTGGCAGGGACATCCGATGATGACGGGCACTTATAAAAGCCTGAACACAGCCAAGGCGATCTGTTTCTAAGAAAAAATATTAACTTGACTCAGGCTGCCTTCTCTGTTCCTCTCCCTGAAAATAAATTAGACACCAGGCAAGGTCACCAAGGCAATAATGCACCCAAATAAATCAGATCGTCTCTGACAGGGGGAGAATTCAATGCACCAGTAGGCATTCTGTTCGGAATGATAATCTGGACGGTGCCACTAGTTCCTTCTCCAGCGGAGCCCGTGGAGCCGCGGGGACACGAACAAGCTCACGGTCTCAGTGGTGCTCTCTGGACCCAGGGAGAGCTCACTCCCCAGACGGTATGGCAGTGAACAAACAGAGTGAGATGCCCAGCCCTCCGAAACACATGGCCGGGTCAGGGAGACAGGACCAGGACGGGAAGGCCCCTCACAGGAGGGGCATGGCTTCTCTCCCCAGCCCTCATCAGCTCGGGGGAGGCGCTCCCGTCTCTTCCCAGACCGGGTTTTGAGGGCCAGGGCAACTCCGACAGACTGCATGGGCACAGGAAACGCTACCCAGGTGCACGCCAATTAACTGGTCTCATCTATTAATAGATTATAAATTCAGTGAAAATAAGATAAAGGGTGAATGGAGCAATAGCATTAAGTGAATCTTCAGAGAACTACATTTTATTTTCCTTCTTTAAGAAAACACTTTAGCCCTGGCCGGTTTGGCTCAGCGGTTGGAGCGTCGGCCTGCGGTACAGAGAGACCTGGGTTCGGTTCCCGCTAAGGGCACGTACCTCGGTTGCAGTTTGTCCCTGGCCCTGGTTGGTTGTGTGGGTGGCAGCCACTCGATGTGTCCCTTCACATCGATGTTTCTCTCTCTCTCTCTCTTCCTCTCTCTCCCTCCCACTCTATCTGAATAAAAAATGGAAAAATGTCCTCGGGTGAGGATAAAAAAAAAAAAAAGAAAAGAAAAGAAAACACTTTAACAGATGGACCTTAGCAGCAGAAGTTTCCATCAGAAAAAGGTCAGAACCTCCCATCCGTTAACAGCTCTGATTAGGTCTCCCTCCACCTCCCACAGCGCACTCAAGTACGTTTCAACACTCGCGGCCAGGCTCCTGGTGCCCTGAACAAGTACAGATTTGGTTTGACCTCACGTGCTAATTATTTTTATCTATCTATCTGTGTGTGTGTGTGTGTGTGTGTGTGCATAGATAGATAGATAGATATTTTTAAGATAGAGTGGAAGGGAGGGAGGGGGAGAGAGAGAGAAAAACATCATGTGAGAGAGACACTTAATTGGTTGCCTCCCGCGTTCGCCCTGCCTGGGGCCAGGGATTGAACCTGCAAACCCAGGTATGTGCCCCAGACCAGGAATCAAACCCCAGACTCTTCGGTCCATGGGCCGATGCTCTAACTGCTGAGCCAAACCGGCCAGGACTGATACTTGTGTTTCTCTGGCTGGGCAGGCAGCTGCCTTCTCCAATGTTTCCAGGGGGCAGGGCTACATGTACTGGACGCCTCATAACCCCAATGTGAAGGAAGCAGGCTGTCAGTGAGGTCACGCGGGCCTCTGCACGTGTGTGCTCTTAACACCAAAAAGAACAGCGACGATCAGGTGCAATACTTGGACAGACTCTTTTGGGGGAGGGGCAAGGAAGGGGAGACACCCCTGGGCGAGGTCCACGTCCTGATAATAGGTACTGACAGTTAAGAAATAAGCAAGGGTCATGTCACCACAGCAGACTGATACCTCTGAAGTTTCTTTCAGATGTGTTTAGGACTAAACATGCACAAGTATCAGAGAAGTTGCAGGATGCTTACAAAAAACATTTCCTGTTACTTTGTCTCCCTGGCGCCCTGTCCTCATCAGAGAACAGGAGGATAACATCAGAAACACAACCATGGTTTTCAGTAAATAGGTCTCTTCATCTTTGCCGATACAGATCAGCTATTATTTACAACAGAATCTGAATCTTTTCAAATGGAATGCATTTAGAAGTGATTTATGATAACCTTACGATATCTTAAGGGTTGAAATGGTTTAATTTGTATTTTTTAGAAAAATGGACAGAATTCTTTTATTTTTAATCCTCACCCGAGGACATTCCTCCATTTTTTGTTCAGATACAGTGGGAGAGAGAGAGAGAGAGAAACATCGACGTGAAAGGGACACATCGAGTGGCTCCACCTGCACGACCAACCAGGGCCGGGGACAAACTGCAACCGAGGTACGTGCCCTTAGCGGGAACCGAACCCGGGTCTCTCTGGTCCGCAGGCCGCCGCTCTGACCGCTGAGCCAAACCGGCCAGGGCTCAGAGCGCACTTCTAAGTCCACTGCAGGCCTCAGTGAGAGATCGGTGCCGTCGAGTGAAGACACGAAGGAGGTGACGCGCAGCTGGAGAGAGAACCTGAAAGAGGCGACACAGGCACCTGACAGAGAACAGTCACTGGACCCTACCCCGAGACAGGGCTTCTCTTCGCAGTGTTCACGGAAACGGATGAATGGGTGAGAAGTGGGTGATGTTAAAGGAGTTTTCGGGTCACGCTGAAGCGCAACTCGAAAGCGCGCGGGTTAGAACGGCTGCGTGGAGAAGACAGAGACGGCAGGTGCGGGCGACGGTGTGCGGGTCAGGGACGCCTGCGCACTGCGGCGGCCACTACGGAAGGAAACTGTGCAGGCCCCTCGGAACCTGCCAACAGAGCTGCGTGACTAGAACCCCACGTCGGGGCTGCACCCGAAGGAACTGAAAGCCCATGTTGAGGTGCTGTCTGCACCCCACGTCCGCTGCAGCAGCATCCACAGCCAGGACACGGGAACGCCTGCGTGGAGTATGACCTGCGATGGAATACTGTTCAGAGGTCCTACCGGGTGAAGTCAGCCAGTCACAAAATAACAGACACAGTATGGTGTCACCTACTGGGGGTGCTCAGAGCCATTGAGATCAGGGCCGAAGAGAGGAGTGCTCGGCGGAGGTAACAGGTCTCTCGGTTTTACAGGATGAAGTCAGATGCCGGTCGGCGTTATGAACGTACTTCACACTACTGAACTGCTGGGAGGGCATCTTATGTGAGGTGTGTTTTACCACATATTTAAAAACGGGAACAAAATGGCAGAAGGATGGTGGAAAATCAAGCATTTAACCCGCCTGCCTCAGCTGTACCAGGGGACTGCAGAGATGATGATGGAAGTCCCCTTTTGTTAACAGCTGATTGTCCGTGCAGAGGACGGAGAGCTTTGGGTGCCACGTTCTGTGACTCCTGTGGACACAATGGACCCGACAATGGCCACCAGCAGCTGCTGAGACCGTGAGGAGACTGTTACAATGAACAGCGCTCCGGGAAGCCAGCTACCGATCACCCTCACGTCCCAGCAGAGAACCCCAGTCATGCGTCTCCCCGCGGGCCGAGACAGTAGCAACCGTAGGAGGTCTTCTTGACCAGCAGGTCTGATTCTGATCAGACTCCCATCTATCCACTGCTTTTGAGGAAGATGGGGGACAGGGTCACATGTCAGCACCATGGGGGCAGAACTGGCAAAGATTCAGACGCTGTGAAATTCTATAGCACAGATGATGCTTTTTCTGTGGATGGATGCAGCTTGTTTAGCTTCTGATTTGATAAAAACATTTAGGAGATAATTGGGGCATTCTGAGTAGTGAATAAGTATCTGATGATATTAAGAAATTGTTGCTGAATTTTTTTAGGTTTGAAAATGATCTTGTTGTAAAAAAAGTGCTTATCATTTACAGATACAGCTGAAAATTTTATAAATGAAATGACACAATGGTCAGGATGTTTCTGAAATGATCTGGGGTGGGAGGGACTCAGGGGTGGTTGAACAGGTCAGCCATGTATTGACGATCGTTGAAGCCATGTGATGATTAAATGTGTGTTACCATACCACTTTGTCTGCTTTTCTATGTTTAAAATTTCCCATAATAGACCTGGCCGGTTTGGCTCAGCGGTTGGAGCATCGGCCTGTGGTCCAGAGAGACCCGGGTTCGGTTCCCGCTAAGGGCACGTACCTCGGTTGCAGTTTGTCCCCTGCCCTGGTTGGTCGTGCAGGTGGCAGCCACTCGATGTGTCCCTTTCACATCGATGTTTCTCTCTCTCTCTCTTCCTCTCTCCCTCCTGCTGTATCTGAACAAAAAATGGAAAAATGTCCTCGGGAGAGGATAAAAAAAAAAAAAATTTCCCATAATAAAATGTTTTCAAAGCCTTTGAAAAATTTTAATATATGAGTTAAATATTTTTCTTATAATTAACTTTATAGCATTTATTAGTGAATAGTTTTTAAGTGAAAAGGGAAAGAAACATCAGGCAACATCTGTCTAAATTACCATGAATTCTCAGTAAGTGGAAAATTCAAATTTTCCTGTGGTCCACAAAGAATAATAGCAGTAAGTAGAAAATTATCCTATCTATACTTTTCCATGTATCCAATTATCAGTGACTTCCTCATAATTTTTAAACATTTTGGTTTTAAACATGCAATTTAAAAGAAAATATTTGCTAAGAACATAGTAAATAAAGTCTCATCATCTTTGGCCGTTCAAAAGAAATATTTTACATTTATGTGCAGCTCACCTGCTGTGAAATCTTCAGTCAGATCAATAAACGCGTGAGAATGTGGAAGTCTCATTTTATGTTTAGTGGTCAGCGCAAGGTGCCATGATAAATTCCTTAGAGAAAAAGAAAAGATTTTCTTAAGGCAAACATCAAGTGAACATTGTTTTAAAACAAAGCAAAACAAAATCTGTGTGTGCAAGGCATTTGTAACTTATTTATTTTTACTGAGCGGTTTACATCCCCTGAAATTCACCCTTTCAGAGTGCACAGTTTCGTGGTTTTTAGTTTGTTTATTGTGCAACCATACCACTGGCTAACTCCAAAACATTTTCCTCATCTCAAAAGAAACTCTGCATCTGTGAGTCATTTCTCATTTTCCCCTCCTCCAGCCTCCAGCCCCCACAACCCCTAATGCGCTTTCTGTTGCTACTGATTTCCCCTTTCTGGATGGACATTTCCTATCAATGGAATCATGCCACTTGGCATAATGTGTTTGGGTTCATCCATGCTAGCATGTATCAGTATTTCAGTTCTTTTCATGGCTGAGTAATATTCCACTGTATGGCTATACTTTTTGTTTATCCATTCATCTGTTGTTGGACATTTGGCATGTTTCCACTCTTGGCTATTACAAACAAAGCTGCTATATATATTCATGCGCAAGTTTCTAGGTGGACATACTTCTTGTGGGTACACACCTAGTAGTTGAATTGTTGGGTCTCATGGTCATTTTATACCTAATTTTCTGAGGAACTTTCAAACTGTGTTCTAAAGTGGCTTCACCACCTTCTATTCTCACTAGTGACGTAGGAGCGTTCCAGTATCTCCATTTCTTTGTCAATCCTTATTACTGTCCATCTGTTTAATTGGAACTATCCTAAAGGGTGGTTTAGAATTTCATGGCTTTGATTTGTAGTTTCCGAATGCTGAACATGTTTTCATGTGCGTATCGGCCATCTGTGTATCTTCTTTGGAGAAATGTCTACTCAAATCCTTTGTTTTAAAACTTTCATTTTTGAGTTGTAAGAGTTCCTTGTAGAGACTGAATACTAGATCTTTATCCAGTGTATGATTTGCCAGTGACTATTTTGCCTTTTGTTGCTTGTTCTTTCAATGTCATACGTGAGAGTTCATTTCCAAATCCAAGGTTATGAAGATTTACTGCTATGTTTTTTAAAAATGTTTTTATTGATTTTTAGGTAAAAAGGAAGGGAGAGGGAGAGGGAGCTAGAAACATCCATGGGCTGCCTCCTGCACGCCCCTTTCTGGGGATTATGCCCCCAACCCAGGCATGTGCCCTATTAGGAATCGAACCGGGACCTCTTGGTGCATGGGACGACACTCAACCCACTGAGCCACACCGGCCAGGCTCTTCTGAGAGTTTTATAGGTTTAGCTCTTATATTTATATATCTTTTTTAAGTCTAAGAGAAGATGATGAAATACTACGTTGTTTTCTAGACTGTAGAGAATGGTTATCTTTTATGAACATTAATTCCAAAGTCTGAGCTACGCAGAAGAATGCATTTTGACCCTACCACACACCCAGTAACAAAAATGAACTCAAAGTGGATCCAAGAGCTAAAGCTATAAAACTCTTAGAGAAAACAGTGACAAGTCTTCACGATCTCAGACTTGGAAATGGGTTCTTAGGTCTGACGCCAAAATAATAAGAATAAAAAATAAAAACAGAACTGGATACATTAAAATTAAAAAGTTTTGTACATCATAAGACAATAGTAAGAAAGTGAAACGACAACTCCACAGAATGGAAGAAAATCTTTGTAAATCTTATGTCTGACAAGGGTCTAGTATCCAGACCACATGAAGAACTTTTACAGCTCAACAACAAAAAGTCAAAGAGCCTGATTTTAACAGGCCAAGGACAGACACGTCGCCTAAGAATATAAACAAATGGCTACCAAGCACAACAAAAGGTGCTGAACATCACTGGTCACCGAGGCAGCGTGAACGAAAACCGCACGAGCGGCTACTCACACCGCCGGGAGGGCCATAATCAACAGCCAGGCAGCAACAGGTGCTGGGGACCACGCAGAGATGGAACTTGCCGTGGGACAGGAAATGGCACACCCGTGGACACGGCTGGGCAGACTTCCCACGGGAGCCTGCAGCCCACACGGAAGCACCCCCCCAGAACTGAAGGACGAGCAAGCTTAAGTAAGATCGCCCCCCACAATTCCTCGTCAGCAGGCATTCCCATGGATCAAGGCCCCGCTCAGATCCGCTTTCTCCAAGAGGCCTGCGGTCTCCTACTGTTTCCCGGGAGCACTTTCTCGACTACCAGCTCTTTGGTTTGCACTGACACCTCCGCGGAGCCACCTCTGAGAGCGCGAGCCCTCGGGATCAGCGAGGCGCAGCCGGGACCTGCCCGGCCCTGGCTGCTCGCGGGCTGGACGGAGTCGGTCTTCAGTAGCACCTGTTTTCTATTTCTAGTGAGAATTTGCCATTTCTTTCATAGTACTAGGGTCCCATCCCTTATGGAAGTATAGGCATGTCATCTCTGAGGAGCAATTTAAGGATAATTAAGTCCAAATTAACGATCCACCCAGTATCCAACGCTCTGTGTAGCAAACGAGTTTTATTTGTGAATTTAGTTTTGATGTATTTTGAAAGTGGAGAGAACAATTCACTAATTTGTCCTTGGCAGGCGGAATCTGGGGAAAAGAACAGGCATTCGTTAGGAGAGACTGTTCTCCACACAGACGGTCAGTGTTCTGCACAGAGAACTCCACCCTGACAGGCCCCTTGGACACGCCTTCCAGCACACACTGGGCCTCGCTGTAACCTGAACACAGCAGGAAAACAAAACCAAGCAGGCTCCGCACAACCCACCTTTATTACTTTCACCAACCCCATGCTATAAGGTCACGGTAAATACTAAAGTAAACTGAGAAATGGTGCTCAGCACTTGTCGTGGGTAACTCAGTGCCAGGCATCCATGCCTGCTCCTCCTTCCGACGGCACAGGTCAGACGTGCTTAAAATAATTTCCACTACGTTCAGTGTAACATGGCTGGTTCACTTCTTCTTAAGACAGGTCAGGCAGTCATCGGTTCTTACATCCTAAGCATGCATGTATTTTTAATTACTAATAAAATAATCAGACACAGGTTAGAGATTCCATGACAAGTTTAACCCAAAGTAATTTCAAAAGAGCTTCCTGGTGTTTCCAATGAGTTTGTCACTGTAGGCCAACGTGAGTTAGAACACACGCTTTCACCAAGTCAAGATGAATGGGGTTGTCATGCGGCTGTGTAACTGCACCAGGGCAGTTACTGAGCTCGCTCCCCGCAGAACTCTTTACAGGTCTGCTTTCAAATGAGTTGTAATAGAACTGTGGAAAACCTCCAACAACTGGTGATATTTGTCCTCGGAACTATTTGACAAGGATGCGTTTCAAATGAAGAGTCCAGGACAGCGACAGCAACAGTCACAGAGATGAGGCCCAGCGCAGCGGCAACATGTTTCACTTGACCCACACGCTGTTTTGTAAGTTTTGAATCCACTGCTAAAACTTAAATAAAAGTCTGAGCCTGCGGCTTCTCTGGAAACAGCGGAAGGTCTGGCACCCCGCTGGGCAGTGGTGGAGGCGGCCTCTGGTCTCCTTCGGCGGGGGGACCTCCCAGTTAGCAACTCTCAACAAAATACTCACTGTGACCTTGCTTTTCTGAACATTTCAAATCAACACTGAAGCTCATCGCAGTAAACATTTATACTTGCTGCCCGCACTTCGCTATTTTATTTATTTATTTTGTTAATCCTCACCCAAGGATATTTTTCCCATTGATTTTTTCAGAGAGAGTGAGAGGAACAGCAACGTGAGAGACACGTATTGACTGTTTGCCTCCCACACGTGCCCTGACAGGCTGGGGCTCGAACCTGCACCCAGGTACGTAGCCTTGACTGGGAACCGAACCCGCGACCCTTTGGTCCTCGGGCCGATGCTTTAACTACTGAACACTCTGGCCAGGGCTGTGCTCTGCTATTTTACATGAACACTTCTTAAAGGCAGTTAACTGATCCCTATATTTTATGCACAGTGTCTATTTACCCTTCTGATGTGTACCAAAGGTGTGGTGCATTTCAAGATAGCTGAAAACTGAATATACAGTTGTCTATCACAAATTGTTTAAAATGTTATAATTCAAAATAAAATTCATTTTTCCTTCTACATTTAATGTTGCTCTTGGTACATATCCTAGTTTTTCAATAATAAGAAGCAAACACCATATTTTTCAAGCGACTATGCTCATATAATCTATAATCTTCTCATACGTGCTCAACTCCATTTGAAGTCCAAGGTCACAAGTACAAAGTGTTCTGATTACAAAGGAAGACACAGCAGAGATGAAAAGTGGGCAGTTCCGAGCCGTGCTGAGTCTATTTGTTGACATTTCTTGACCTCTGTAGAAAATTCTAGTTATTAGCTCACTCCCCACCCCACACACAGGACACATAACTATGTCAAGGTGTTCTAATGTGTGGGCATCATTGCCCTTAACCTCGAAGAACAGCATTTACCAAAGAACAAACTTAAATGTAATTAATGTCAACTGTAGCTTCTAGTTGCCTATGGCAACTGCTGCTGAAATGACTCCTAACCCACCCACTTTCCGAGGATCAGCCTGTGCTGACTCACGACAGCCCAGGAGACGCGGTGGCAGGAAGGGGTCTGGCACGGACGGGGCGGCGTGCTTCTCCCTGCTGCCTGCTCCTTTGGTCCAGTGGTCCACACATTTCTGCTCGGGCTCTAAGAAAAGTCTGAAAATCTACGTGCCCCCGAACGCACTTAAATTCATTTCTAAGAATGTAACCTAAATGTTTTCATCAGCTTAAATAGCTACAAAATAGGTCATCTTCAACTCTATTAGAATTGTTGACATTTTAAAATAAAATGATCGCTCTTGAAAATGCAGCCAGTGGAATGTAAGGGCCACGCTGAGCTGTTGCTGGGTGCCCACACACAACCATGTCAAGCTCCTCTGCAACTGTCCGCCTTTCCCTTCACCCCTGAAGTTGTGCCTCTACCCCATTTCCTTATAGGGCTTCTTCATGACATAAAACTTTTCTGTATCTGAAGTCTTTTTAGTGATC